GTGTTATTAGTTTCAGCTGCTCACTCCGTTTGCCAGGTCATTCTTTTAAATAGTTGGCATTGTTGGTACATTTAGAATGCTTGTTCACTTACCAAGAAATCCAAGTATTACCCACCTCTATAAGAAACCTGTTGTGGAAAATGTACTTGAATAATCAAAGTGGTTAACCACTTTGTATAAACCAAGTTGTGTTAAGTAAGTTGACCTTGTCGCTTTTAATGATGCTAATTGGTTTTCAGATTTATGCTATACAGTGACAGGAGGAAGCAAGAACCTTGGGCAAAGTAAATACTGCTGGGAAATGTGGACCCCAGGCCTCAGAAGGTACGGGAAGAGGAACATATGCTCACTGGTTAGCTGAGATTTGCATTATTTTGTACTCTTACTGCCTCCTTTCTTGCTCATGTGGAGATTTTAGGAACATTAAAACTCCTCAATAGGAGTTTGTACACATATATTTTGAAGAAATGTTTTCTTAAATATTATAGGAGCAAGCCTGGCCTGGAGATTAGTTGAGTTTAGTGCTTGCTAAGAGGAGTGCCTGACATGCAGTGAGCCCTACACAGGTATTTGCTAATGATTTGTTCTTTATTATTATTCATGAGAATCTGGCTTAACCTCACATCCGTCCTGAGTTAGGACAGATGTGACTAGATGAGCAGTCATTCTAAGATGGTAAATTGTATTGATGGCCAAGTAGACACAGGACATTTCTGAACTTAGACTGAGAGAAACCCTAACTCTGAGTCTAAAAATCACAGTTTCCATAATAGAACTTCATATATGTTATGATCATATGCAATGTTTTATTTTATTAAGTTGTGATTTAATAATTTTATTGATTAGGTAATACTTTTAGTTCAAACTCAAAGGCCTGAAAAGGTTGACTTCTTTGTAGAATGTCCCCGGTTGCTCTAGCCCTCAGCTGCCTAGTTTCCCTTCTTCCTGCGGGTCCTCCCAGGGTTATCCGTCTCTTGTGCATTACTGGATTATTTTTGTACAGTTTACTTTAGTGTCTAGATATGTTTGGGAGGAATGTTTTAGAAACTGAACACTAGACACATGGTCCCCTGGGGTTCGTGTGAGATGGGGATGGGGACCAGGAACTTCCATCTTAGTAAAGGGCCATTGACAGGATTCTTCGTTGGTGTTCAGTCCACGGGGGACATGGGTCTCCTTGCTGCTCTTGGGATTCTGGGATCCAGCCAAGTTCTTCATCCAGGTGGCTGTATTTATTTGTTTCCTCGCTCTGCTTTGCCTGTTCTCAGCATCATACCCTACTAGAGGCCTTCCCTTTGTCCCTTCCTCTTCTTTGTTACCATCAGTGGCATCGAGTGCCTATACATAGGTGCGATCCTCTACATTAATGGCTCTGTTTGTTTATGTCTTGTCTTCCTCTGTTAGCACCAAGCACCGTGAGAGCAGGGAGTGTGTGTTACCTGATATATCCCCACGACCTAGAAGAACTCCTGGCCTAGAGTAGGCACTTTGTAAATATTGCTGAATGAATGACATTTGGGAAAAGCTGTTTTAAACAGTTAGATGGGCTTATACCACAGGACTTTTCAGAACCTTTAATGAGCAGATGTGCATGGCAGAAGTGGAGCATGGCAGGTGGGAGTCAAGCTCTTCAGCACAAATTCAGAAAGGCTTTGTGCTTTTGGGTGACAACTCAAACACCGGGCGG